TCCTGCTGATTTCTAACGTAGCTAATTCTGAGCGGAGCCCACCTGTCTGGTCCCAAGGTACCAGGGGGTGTAGGGGCAACACAGTGCCCACACGTCTCTTGGTGCAAGGGACACCGGTGCAACGAGAGGCTGCCACGTGCTCTCAGCAGCCCCTTGCACACTCCTCCTTTGCACGCCCCTGTGGTACACATCCCCAGGCATGCTGCCACAGCCCCCTTCCCACCCCAAGGGTCTGGCCAGGACAAAATGGGGAGACAAAGGGGGACAAACCTGACTGAGCCCTCCCTGGTTCCTGCTTTCCCGGCATCCTAGAGCATTGCGGGCTCCAGCTGTGTGCTGCAGGATGGGGCTCAGCCACCCCACCATGGACTCGGCCATCTGCCCTGGCTCCGGCCACCACCTCCCTCGTGGCAGAAACGCTCGCTCAGAACCTGGCTGAGGGCAGCTGGTCCTGGGGGAAGACGGGGCTCCCTGAGGCAGCCCACTCTCTGGTTTAGTACCTGCTGTAGGTCCTCCCTCCTGGTGCACAGCATCCCAGCACAGCAGTGCTCGTCTCAGAGGCTGTTACGCCAAGCTGCTAAAATTAAGCAACAACCCTAATGCATCCCATAAACTCCCCACAGAGCCAGACTGGGGTCTCCAGGGTCGAGCCACACTGCTGCAGACCCAATTCATCTAGGACATGTCACGAGCCTGTTAGATTTACCATGGCCAAACCCCGCTATTTCTCATCCTGCCCCGTTAACGACACCCAGCGGCTCTGGCAGCCTGGCACAGCACCGGGGTGCTCCCCATCCCACCGGCTCCTGCTCGCCATCCCGCTGAGTGCCGGGGCCGGTAGCAGTCCCTGCTGTCCAGCAACTCCTCCTGGTCCCCCCTGGACCAGGGCTGCAGGGGCACGGGAGAAGGGGTGAGAAAAGGGACATGTCCTGAACACCCCTGAGCTGCCCTGAGGGCCCTCAGCCCCGCTCCGCCAGCATTCAGTACAAAGAATTAAATAGAAATTGTGAGAAGCCATGTTTGACCCCACTGCGGTGCGCAGCGAGGAGACATGCAGCACAGCTCCAGAGGGACATGTGGGATGGGGACCACCACCACAGGGACCTGCACATTGGAGACCCGAGTGCCTACCTGGATGCCGCAATCTCTGACTTCTGCCGGGCGATGGCCGCAGCCCTCTGAGCCCCCTCCACGCTCCTGTCCACCTTCTGCCGGATCTTGGCACTCTTGAGGGGTATCACACGCTTCTTCATGCCCTTGATGAGGACGTTGTGACGGTACTTGCCCTCCTCCTTCTTGCCGTCAGGCAGCGTGGTGCAGCCATAGCCGTGCCGCCGGTTGTCCAATCGCCGGTCCGCAGGTGCCCCAGCCACTCGCCCTCATACTTCAGCCCACTGGAGCGCTCGCTGACGCCGAAGCCAGCGCGCTTGTCATTCTTCCACTCGCCCATGTAGGTCTCCGTGGTGGTGGCGTCGATGTCGGACTCGAAGGGGGGGTACTCCTCGCCCTCGGCACCCTCGCCCAGGCTGACGGTGGAGGTGGCGTCGCTGGCAGCCGAGCTGATCCCGCTCTCGCTCTTGAGGAAGCTGACGCGGCTCTTCTGGCTCGCCAGGGACGACTTGGACTCGGACTTCTTCAGCTTCCCCAGCAAGGAGCCCCTGCGGAAGAGCCCCCCCTTCTTGGGCTTGCCAGCCTCCACCTCTGCATAGAGGCTGAGGGCGAAGCCCCCGCGGGTGATGGTGGGCGAGAGGGGCAGGTTCTCAGGGTTGGCGGCGGGGGAGTCCTGCTGGGGCAGGGTGCCATTGCTGTGCTCGCTCCGCAGGGAGGAGAGGGAGGTGCGCAGCGGGGAGCGGACCACGGAGGCCATGCCGTAGGGCACGCTCTGCCGCACGCCGTAGCCGTGCCGCATGCCGTTGGTGAACTGGCCTTGGTACGTGCCTGCGGGAGAGAAGAGGGACGGGGTGAAAAGGCAGCTGGTTCCTGCTGCCCTAGAGCAGACATACCCACCGTCCTCGAAGAGAGGAGCCCCAATTCCGCTAGTGCTCACCCACATGCAACAGCAGCGGTCCCCAGGGAGCAGAGGGCAGAGGACACAAGCCTGAGAGCCGCTGCTGGCAGGTGACAGCTCGCTGGAAAGGGGCTGGGGCACCAGGGGACACTGGTGCAAACCCAAAGCCACTTTACAGACGCGGTTTGGATTTGCATCTGGACGAGGGAGCGGGAGGCAGCCCCGCAGTGCTGGAGCTTGGGCTCTGCAGAGGGTGGCAGCAGCCCCAGCAGACACACAAGCTGCGGTGGCACAGCTCTCCTTGGCTCAGTGACAGTCCCTTTCAGCCCATTCTGCAGTTTGTCACTCAGAGCCTGCCAGGACCGGCTCTAGACCCCCGAAACGGGTGCCTGGCCCTACCCCAGGCTGCCCCTGGACCTGCAGCCGCATCTGCTTGGCCCTGACATACAGCTTCTCTGCAGTCCCAAGACCAACTGCACAAAGCAAAAGATGGGCAAAAAAAGGAAGGAGAGGAGCAGAGCAGCTCCATGCGGGGTTCCTCCAGCTCTGCCCCAAAACCCACTGCCCTACCACACTCCTCCAGATGCAGCTCAAGAGGGCACTCGGTGTCATATGATGCGGAGGAGGATCGTGCTCACCATGACAGGGCTGCACCCTGGGTACGGGACTCTCTGCTAAGAGCCCGCAGGACGTTGGCAGCGACACCTCGAAGGACTGAGGAAAGCACATCGCTCTTCTCCAGACCCCTTCCAGGTCTGCACCTGTGCAGGCTCCAGACGAGTGAACTGGAGACCACTGCCCTGATTTTTCTCACTAGGATTTCACAAGATTTAAATTAGTAGCATCAAAGCTCCCTGCAAGAAGAGCTCCCAGAAGGGCAGGAGGGCTGATGGGGCAGCCTTTGCCTACAGCACATGCACTCACGTGCCAGAACAACCTCCCCATGAAGGGTCCCCGCTGAGTCCTGTGGGACAGGGACAGGACGGGCTGGTGCCCTCCCAGCCTGGCTCTCCTCACTCTATAGACACAGTTGCCTCAGAAACCAGCAAACACCCCAAACAAAAGCAGCATTCAGCTCTGCTCCATGGGCAGCCGGCGTTACAGGACCTGGAACAGACCACCTCGCCCCAGCCCAGCACCCTGCAGGGCAGGTGCCACCAGCAGCCCCCCCATCCCAGGGCACAGACGGAGGATGCTGGGGAGCACAAACACCCTTGGAAAGGCCACCCCACTCCTTTACTCTCCCAGGCACTGCTTCATGCAAGTGAAGGGCCAGCCGTGCCGGAGGCATTTTCACGGGCATCTGTCCCAAACGTGGTTTTCATTAAGCACTGACCTACTGGGAGGCACCAAATTTTGGGAGAGCGAGCACTCCCAGGGTCCCGGGGAGGCTCAGCAGGGCTGGGCTGAGACAGAAAGCAGTGACCTATCTTCATCGCATTCATCTACCCTCTCAGACACTGTTACTCAGACCAGGGATGACCCTGCTCCCCAGGGAGCAAATCCAGTTCCTTCTTTGGCGATTGTGGGAGTGCATATTTTACAGTGTCCCAAGCCACTTCTGCAGCATAATCTCTCCTCCTAAGCTTCAGGTTTCATTGAAATCCTCTTTGGACCTGCCTGTGGGGTGTTGACTTACAGCGCCGGGGGCCAGGAAAGACAAGAAGTGCCCGAGCGGGCAGCAGCTGCTGCCCCGGGGTGAGCTGCCCCCCGCCAGCCCCTGCCCACCCCACAGCAGACAGGATTTTGGGCTCCCTGCAAACATTTGGTCTCCTCTACTAAAAAAAAAAAAAGGTAAGGGTTCAGGTAGCGCATCTACCGTGCTTCAGAGCATCTGCAGGCCGTGGCCAGGCATGGAGAGCAGTCTGCCACAGCAAGGGGCCATCGCCCAGTTTCTTGGTGGAACTTGAATCTCTGTTAGGAAAAATAAGGTGGGTGGCATGGGTTAGGAGTCTGGGCATGAGCACGGAGCCAGGGACCATCGTTGGAGATGCCCAGGTACCTGGGTGTGTTCCTCACCGTGCTCCCAAATCCCACTCTGTAACATGTTGCTGAATCTTCCTAGCACAAAATGGAGTTATGGAGACCCCCGTAGTGCCCCCACATCCCTCCCCACCAAGAGCTGGTGAAGTCAGCGCTCCACCCCCCCCTGCCCAGCCAGCGAGCAGGGCTGACACACGATCAGGGTGACATCGGAGACCTCCTCCTAGGACGGGACAACCTCGCACATAGCAGGCTGCAGCTGATAGTGCCGCCGTGTTAACCCCCTGGAAGAGGGACTCTGGAAAAGTCTCGCAGGTTTAGGGGACTTGGCTGCTCCTTGGGAGCTGCTGGGAGCAGCCGCTGCCCTCCCGCAAGCCCCCAGTCCCCTCTGTCCCCCTGAGCACTGCCGGGGCCACCTGGATGGGAAAAGCCACGTGGCACAGTGGGTCTCCAGGGAGCAGAGATTGGGATGCAGCTTCTTGGGGGCACGCGTGCTACCCTCCACACGAGGTTTCACACCAGCAATTCAGGCTGGCCTTGGCGGCCTGATTTCAGCCCATACGGCATGAGCAACGTCGTCTCTCTGGCACGTGGCGTGACCAAACCTGCCAACCCCGCCTGGTATAACGGAGGGAACCGACACACCGTGCTGTCCAACCGACGCAGGGGCGAGCGGTCACTGCCGTGTCCCTGTCATGCTGCGATTCAGCACCCGGCTGAGGCTTCGTGCCAAGGCAGAGCCATAAACCACATCTGGAGTGGAGCCAGAGGCTGCTGAGAGCGGCTGGAGGCGCCGGCGGCCGTGCGTCGGGGCACGCAAGGTTTGAGTGGATCCGAGCCCTGGCTCACCAACATGTACCAGTGCAGCCAGTTCAAGAAAGGATGGGGCTGTGCAAACCCCCTCTGCACCATGGGCGGTCGCTCAGCAGGGCTACACGTCCCTGAGCCACCGCTACCCCTGAATATCAAAGCAGCCTGGGGAAGGGGGGACAGGCAGGAGGCAAAGCTGCCAGCCAGGCAGCGCACATGCATCTGAGGTTCTGTAAAAAATAATTAATTTTTGTGAGGAAAAAAAAATTATCTCTATTTAGGATGAAAATGGGACAGAGCCCCATTTCTCTGCCTCCCCAGCCCTCTTTGATTCACCAGGGCAGTGGGACAGAACCACCTAACCCCCTCAGGGTGGGATTACTGAGGGACAGGACCCCAATAATCCTTTATTGCCTGCATTTTTTCATGTTGGAATGATGAAAAATGCTGTTTCCTCTGCAACCCCCAGGTACATGGTTCATCATCTTTGCTCATCCCTGAGCAAAGTTGGGATGTGGCCCTGTGTGGGTATCTTCAAAGGATGGGAAGAATCAAATTGTGGGATTGATGAAAACTGTACCCCTATAGCCTTCACCTCTAAAGACACCAGCTCCCCGCGGATGGAGTGGTAGCACCCTCTGTTTAGCTCTGCTGGCAGCAGGATGAGATGATGCCCGACGGCATCAAAGGCGAAAGCTTCAGCTCCTGGTGCACGCCCAGCCCGGCAGTGAGAGCCCGCTGTCAGCAGCGTCACATCTCCCCTTCCCAGCCTGCCTCTAAGCTCTAGTATAATTAGCGATGAATGTAAATAACACAAACCACCAGGTAAATAATGCAAACAACTCAAATCGTATCACTGCCCTACAGTCCCCTGCTGTTACCCGGATACTGTGATGACAGACGTGTTAGAAGAACTCAGTGTAAAAGGCCAGGGACATTAAATCAATGCACAGCACCACGTGCGAGAGAGGCTGGCAAAAACCTAGTGCTTCTTTTTTGGTGCCAACAGTATTATCTGATGGTTTCTGTTGGAAAAGAAAGGCAGAAAAAACCCAAACAAACCAGACGGGGGGGGGGGGGGAAACAACACCTTT